ACTGAGTCACCAAAAAAACCTGCTCAGGTTTTGTCGGCAGCTGATGTGTCTGAATGTCATAATACCTCCGAAACACCTCTTTCTGTTTCGTTCTGATACAAAGTACACTGATAGGATACAACAAGATGAGGAAGAAGGCACTCAAACATGTCTTTATTATTTACGGTGTTTCAAAGATGGCAGAAATCTCATCATAACAAAGTTCCAATGGCAGCATTCCTCCACTGACCCCTGCTTCTCATCTGATCCCAAATCTGCTGCCTGTCCACAGAACGGCCCTCACAGGGCTCCAGTGTCTCTCCCCAAACGTATCCATGCATGAGTAGGATTAGGCAAGACATGTGTGCATGTGTGTATATGTGTATGTGTTTTCATCCTGGGCTATATTTAGCTTCTTCTTTTTTTTGTCAGGTCAGCCAAGTGTCCTCCATGCATGAGGTCTGACTTTCCGGCTGAGCTCATGTTGTGTTTTTCTTTCTCTGAGCATGCTCGTATGTGTTACTGTGTGCATGCATGTGAGTGTATGAGTGTGACTTCACATTTGGTGCTCTACATTTGTGCAGCTGCAGCAGAGTAGCTTTGTGTGAGTGTGCCTGTGTGTCCCCAGATGCCTCCAAAATGACAAAGTTCATCCGTCAAACTGCTAACCGATCCAGTCTGTCTCGCCATTCTTCGTCCTCAGACCGAGGTCAGCACCCTCCAGCAGCAGCAGCTCTTACATAATCTGGAACATTTTGTTGACACTAAAAATATGATCAGAAATGTAACTCTGAGTGGCAGATGTCACACTTTGGCGGTGCTGCTTACTATAGGCCAAGGTTAACTTCTTGTTTCATAAGTAGATCATTTAGGTTAAGTGACGTACCATAAGTGATGTCTAATTATATCATTGCACACATTTTCTTTTGAGGAATTGCTTGTGTACATTTTTACAGTTAAGTGATGGACAGACCAAAAGCTACAGCCCTTCATAGACTACTTGATGATTATATTACTTGATCTAAAATATTTAAAGGGTTACATATTCTGCAAATACACTCTACTATGTTTTCTGAGCATTTATGTGTCGCTACCCTGTCTACAAACCGGCCCTTTTGGAAATGTACCCTTTGTGACATCACAAAGGGCAATAAAGCCTCCCCCAGGTGGATGACACTCCCACAGCTAGGTGTTTGTTTTCTGCCCTCTGAGTCTGCCTTCTCAATCGTAAACAATAAGGCTGTAGACAAATGAAAGACCAAGCCACTCAATCGGGGCGTGGTCAGACACAGCTCATTTACATTTAAAGCTACAGACACGGAAACAGCCTGTTTTGAGCAGGGCTGAAATAGAGGGGTATATAGGCATGATCAAATAAAGGAACAGAGTGGATTTTTGGCAACAAACTTCAGAGACAGGTTTTGGGGAGCTCTGAGACTTATTATAACTTGTTAAAAAGTAATGTAATATGACACCTTTAATGTTGTGCTACACTATATTATATTGGCCATGATAGATTCCAGTCATATTCATCCTACAGTATCACTATATTTAACATCAGAGACAAAAGATTGGTGTCCCTGGAATCCCAAATAATGAAGTACTTTCAGACAGCCATCAAAGCAAATTGTTAACTTGCATTTAACTGTCATTCGGAAGGCTATCTCATTAGCAAGAGTGTCCTCAGATTATTTTATTTTATGTTTTTTTTTGTGTGATTTAAAAAAAAAAAAAAAAATGAAAATAAGCTGTTTTTTTCAAACTACCAATACAGTTAAGCTGTTTATTCAGAAAAACAGAGCAGATTGTTTTATCTTCACAAGTGAATGCAGTACACTTCTGTTAAGAAAAGAAAGGTCTCACAGGTCTCACTTTGTAGATAAAAGCGACCTTCGGGGTAAACAGGGATGTTTCAATAGCTTTGTCCCGGTTTTGTCATGGGCTCATTTGTAGCTTGCTGAAAGGTAAGAGTGAGTCTGATGTTTTTCATTCAAATGTAGCCACACTACACATATTGCATTGGTATCCAAGCTAGACCATAAACCGGATAATCAGAATACTATCACACTGATATGCCAACTTTGAGGAAGTGGCAGCATAGCTTAGACTGGTTTGTGAAAGTCTTTTCAATAATTGCACAACTTGTATCTCAACCCATTACATCAACTGTAGATCTCATGATATCTTGAGGTTTGAAAACACATGTTTTACATAAAAAATTAAGCTTATTCAGCGTTGTACATAGCAGGTCTGAAGGTCATCTGGGTGTTAATAGTACTGGTTATATATCCAGTGATGTGCAAATGTTCTGCCTACATTCAGTATTGTGGCAGAAGCCCTGTAGTGATCATATTTTCGTTTCTATAAGCAGACAGTTGGTTAAGGTCAAGCAGTCATGATGATGAATGATGACAATGTAATGAGTCCCCTGTCGGGCTCTTACTCACCTACAGTACTAAGAACAATTCTTATGACATGTTCCAAAAACAAAACAAAAAACCGCACATGCACAAACACTGACATTATGTGCATCACAGTTGGTCTTCTCCTTCTGTCAAGCTGAGCAGTTCATCTTTGGTACATTGAACACAGAGCAGTGTGCAGAGAATAACTCGGCATGAAATGTTCCCTGGTGGACTGACCTGAACCCCCTAAAAACTTGTCTAGGCTTGGAGATAGCCTTCAGCACAACCACATAAACCAAGACTAAAAAAATACAGTGTTTGAGCTCTGAATTTCACAAATATCTCACATCACAGCAAACAAAGCATCGAGCATTTATTTGAACATAATACCCCACTGGGCAATTTAAGTCCAAAGGGCCAAGAGGCATAAGAGATCAGCAGGACTGTTTCCAGAATTATTAAAAAATTCTATATACTCAAACAAACAGACTGGCAACAAACACAAGGAAAACTGTTCTATAGACCAACTCACTTTAAACACCTAGTTTTGTGCTTTTCCCAGTGAAAGAGGCCAACACATGGTTGGTTAGTTATTTACAAATGTTACTTCTGCCACTTGGATCAGCCTCTCACGGTGGTTGAGTAACAAATGCAAACTAAACTGAATCTATTGGAGAAAAAAACCCCAACAAACATCAATTAAAAAAAGTCTACATAATTGCTTCCTGGAAAAGTGATTACACAACTTTTCTCAAAACGCAAAGTTATTCAAGCCCATCCTGTAGGGTTAAGTTGAACCAATAGCTGATTGAATACTGAAAACCATCACACCCTAATTGTGCAGGAAATCTGCTTGAACGTGATCAACGATGTTCAAGGTCGAAGTCTGGCTGTGGGTTTGTAAACTTTGTTGCACGATGGAAACTCTGTTCTTCCTACCCTTACCTTAGAGATTGTTTGAAACTTTTGAGTGAGGAAATGATGGATGAAAACTACTACGATTCTAATCTAGTTCTTCAATCTAGTCTATTAATATTGCTCCTAATGTTGCCCAAAAGATGTTTCCTTCCGAGGGATGGGTACTTACCAGACAGCTAGCAGCTTCGAGGTCATGCATTTGTGTAACCTCCCTTCCCCCCAGGATGCAAAAACACTCAGTGGCCACAGCTCTAATAAGACTGTGATTTATAAGAGTCAACCGGGCGTCTCAGTATGGGGTAGGGATGCAACTAGTGAGAAATATTGGAGGTTTTCATATCAGTGCCCTTGAATGCCCTTTCAAAGCTGCACAGTATGAATTCAGCACCATGGACAGCGACACAACACAGCAGGGGAAACATCCACCTGTTCTTTTGCTGTAAGATTTTCTGTACATTCAGGTGAACTAGAAAATACGCTCAAGTCCATTTAACATTTGCCATTTAACTCATTTTGGCCACCTTAGACCTATGGGAAGTCCCCTGTGACCTTGCATGTCTTGTGTTATTTCCCTACTTTGTGTTTACAAGGCATAGGGAGACATGAAGACAGCCAGACAACAAAAATTGAGACCATAAGGAAGAATGCTGCTGCGGGAGGGTTATTTAAATCAATGGGTGACCCTGCCCACGGTGTGTTTTCTGCGTCCTGTTGAGACAGACAATGCACACCCAACCATGGCCCCCCGTTCGTGTCTGATATATGGAAGCGCTTGTGACTTTGGGTGGCGTCCTGTCTGCTCGCTTCACTGTCACCCTCTGTGAACGCTGCTGGGAGAGGGTTGCCATCGGTTGCTCCCTCCTTCTTTCCTCTGCTCCTCCCCTCCCTCTGTTACTCATCCGACTCACATTCTTCTCCTTTTTTTTTTTTTTATCCATTTCCCTTCTTTCTTCCTTTAATTACTTACCTGTCCCGAACCTTTCGTTTTACTTTTTCTTCTTGTTTTGCTGTTTTCTAACCTGTCATCTTCCTCGCTGACCTCCTGCCTTCAAATCTGCCGGTCGGAGTTCTTCCCTTTCCTGTCCAGGCAGGATCTCTGGTTGGAGACCGTGATAGGAGTGTAAGGTTGAATGCAGGGGCAGAGAGGGAGGGAGTGGGCCACGGGAGGTCGAGGAGTGTGAGGGGAGGTGCTTGCTGGCGGGGCCTGAGACCTGAACCAGACAGAAAGTGAAACGTCACACCAAACCCAGACTCTCTGACTGGGATCACATTTTTGCGCGTGTGTGCGAGTGTGTTTGTGTGTGTGACTGGGGGTTCACAGTGTTAGTAGCTCAGAGCCAGCTGAGGCTGCAGTGGAGACAGACAGGGACAGAGGCACTGAGCAGTACACAGCAAACACCACTGAATGTTGAGTTTTATGGGACTGGGATATCTGCTGTTGGAAGGAAAATTGCCAGGTGAGAATGCGTGTGCATGTGCAGGGTGTTGCGATTATTTTATGGGTGACAGGTTCAATTATATAAAAGTGTCACAATTTTGTGAACGCCTTTGTGTGAGTAATGTGTGAGTGTGTGGGGATATGTGTTCAGCGCGGTCTGCTCCTTATTAGCATCATGTTATTGTATAACAGTTGTACAGTGGCACGTCATCCGTGAGGAGGGGGGGATTAATGTTCAATGTTCCATGTTTTCACTGTAGGTTGTAAGCTGACCACAGGGGGACAGACTTCAGCGTCGCGCCCGGAGCCGCAAGGAGAGGTGTGGCCAAAATCACTTGACCAGAAGCAGGCCCTAGCTACGGACTTCTTATCAGGTACAAAGGTCAAGACTGCTGGTCAAAAAAATGTATTTATTTGACCAAGGGAAATTAAAAAGTTGAGAAATTTAGAAAATGCTTTAAGTTCCTTTGTCTTATCAAGTCATTTAGTTTTATAATCAAACAAAGAAGTAGATTTATAACATTTGCTGTCAGAATAGCTCTATAACTTAGCTTACAGCATCTTGAAGATGAAGATCTTTTTTCATTAAGTGTGAATAAATGGATTTGACTTCGGATGACCTCTAGACTTCTGAACAGTTATTAAAAGAAGCAGGTTTTGAACAGACCACGGTCAGACTTCCCTTGTGTTTGGACTTTGCTTGAAAAAACTAGGACTTGCAACCAGCCTTTGACAAATGACTATTTGGTAACACGTGAATTTTATTAGTCCTAGGATTCACATAGTCAAGCCTCAGTCATCAGATTTTGCCTAAAATCGACTGACAGTCGAAAGTTTTGTTGCCGTTTTTTTTTTCTGGGCATTGAGCCACATTGTCATTTGAGTTTAATCACATTGTTAAACCATTTGTCTTCTAGACTTGGAATACCATTTTATTCTATGATAGGACATTGTTTTTCTCACTCATTGAGTCTGCATTAATTTGACCCTATAACCAAACAGCAGGCACACACTGACGGTCCAGTGTGTGGGGATCAGACCAGTGACAAACAAACAGCGTTTGAAGATTTACTGAATTTTTCGTGATCATAGAAATCCACCAAACTGAGTCCCTGCGACTTAAATCCAGTGAAACTTGACCTTTTGATGACACTTAATAACAGCCTATAACAGCCAATGAGAGCCTGTGTTGAACTTAGTATATGGGGTCACCCCTAGATTTTATAAGCATGACTTGAAGTGATGAAAGGTTACGGTACAAAAAAAAGGCAGCCAATCATGTTTAAGTAGCAAAAGCTTAAGCGATAATTTGGTGTGCACATGAGCAGACATACGCAAATGCATGAATTAGGATGTGCAACACAAAGTTTAGAATGAACAACACAAAGTTTAGAATGAACAACACAAAGTTTAGGATGAACACCACAAAGTTTAGGATGAACACCACAAAGTTTAGAATGAACAACACAAAGTTTAGGATGAACAACACAAAGTTTAGGATGTACAACACAAAGTTTAGGATGAACACCACAAAGTTTAGAATGAACAACACAAAGTTTAGGATGTACAACACAAAGTTTAGGATGAACAACACAAAGTTTAGGATGAACACCACAAAGTTTAGGATGAACACCACAAAGTTTAGGATGACCAACACAAAGTTTAGGATGAACACCACAAAGTTTAGGATGTACAACACAAAGTTTAGGATGTGCACTTCCAGTACAACTTGACATGGGACTTAGTAGTAAGTAGAGAAACACGTAGACAGTATTCACAGGTAAAAGTTCTGAATCCAAATCCATAAAAAGAACAGCAAATTTTATGATTAGTATTATAATACTTTAATTGTGTGGATTAAACCCGAGTTGTACTTGGTACATTGCTGGCATGTCTATGCTAACATGTAGAAACATTAAATGAAATGCCTTCTCTCTTTTCTCTCCTTCCACCTCACTCATTTTATATTTTTAATGTCGTCATTTCCAACCATTACCTCTACCTACAACTACCAATCCATCTCTTACTTCCATTTTTTTTTTTTTTCGCGTTTGACTTTATCATCCATCTTTGCTCATTCCGCTCTCTCAACTTCTTCATCCTTTCCACTTTTTCCCCACTTCTTTTTATTTTTCACATTGTCCTTCATCTTGCCAGCCTCCATGGCAAGTTATTCAGATCCTCTGGGCTCTCAGACCAGCCCTGCCCCAATGATGGACACTGGCCGGATGGGAGCTTTTTCAGGTAAAGTCCCAATACTTGATGGGATTTAGACACAGCAACACAGCATTAGTATGATAAAGGTAGCGTAAAATACAAGGGCAGTTTCTTTCGTAGTGAACATTTACTGCATTAAATTGGCAAGCACTTCCCAAACCTGAGATTCAAATGAAATTTAACATTATTTAAGGATTAATGTCATAAATGTATCAATATTTGGCTATTTGGCTTTCATCTTCATTTTTCACTTAAGACTTAATGCGATCAATAGCATTAGCTAAAAATGCTGACTCATGATAAAAGATTTCTGTTAATCTTTTTTTTTTTTTTTTTTACTGAGCTGGCAAGGCAAAAAAAAAATCCACCAACAAGTGCCATTACAGAAACAAGTGAAGCAGTAAGTAAACTATAGAGTTTACTCTGTTTCCCATCTTATTCCTGTGATCAGGAACTCAATCTTTCTTTCTTTCTTTCTTTCTTTCTTTCTTTCTTTCTTTCTTTCTTTCTCTTATGCTTGGGTCAGAGTCAGGGGCGGAATGTAGCAAAAGAAGAATTGCTGTTTTACACTGAGAACAACGAGAACATCAATGATATCACTCATTTCCATGTCTGGCAATCTGAAGTGAATGTTAATTAATTATTTTGAAATAGTGGAGAGTTGAATAATTAGTGAATGCATCATTAAACAACACTACTTACTCGGGAAAGCGTCTGTAACCAATCAGAATCATGCATTTTTAGCAGGACCGTCAGTGGTCAGAAGCAAACGTCGTCTTGTCTTTTTTTTATGTTTCTAAAGTACTTAACCGTGTCTCTTTACCACATGGCTTTTTACATTTAAACGCACACGTTATTGGAGGCATCTACAGAAAGAAACATGGCTGTGCTGTGTCTCCAATAGTGGCCAATGTCTACATGTCTGACTGAGAGATCAGGTCTCTACCTTCGTTCATATAGGATATACCCCAAGCCACTGGTTAGATATGTGGAGGACACCTGAATCCAAATTTGATTAGCAGAAGTTGAGGCTTTCAAAGTACACCTCAATGGAAAAGACAATTACATCAAGTTTACCGGAGAGGATGTCAGAGTGAACAGTCTGGCCTTCTTGGACAGTGCGGTTTGCTTTGAAGAAGACAGAAGCCTTGACTTAGACATTTTCAGAAAACCTTCACACATGGACCAGTACGTAACGGTTTAAACCCCACCATCCACTACAACAACAAGACAGGTGTCTTTAGAACCAAACACCATAGGGCTCAGAATGTGCCTACAAGGACAGAGGGAAAGGAGAATGAATAGAAACATCTCAAGAGAGCACTTAAGATGTGTGGCTACCCCAACTGTGCCTTCATCAAGACCCTCAAGACACACAACACCAACAGGGAAATAGAGAACAACTTAAGGTCACAGCACTGTGATTCCATATTTGTCTGGCGTTGGAGAATATTTCAAAAACACAACATTTTGGTGAACTTCAAACCATCCAATACTATGAGACAGAAGCTCGTTCACCCAAGGACAAACCCCCCCCCCCCCCCCCCCCCGGCTGTAAAACTAATCAACGCTGTTTATGCAAAAAAAAATGCAATGAGGAATGCAAGGACTTGTAAATTGGAGAGACCGCTGGTTTAAAAGAAGTGTTAAAGAAGCCATCTGTGTTAAGGTGAAACAACCCTCCCTGAACAGAGGTGGTGGCCTGACCGCCTGTCACTGCTTTTTTGAATTCTCTGTCTAACCAGCTTCATGTTGCGTTCCATTTGACTAGGAAGTCGTAGCTGGGAGTGACGTCACACCCAGTTGACCTTGTTTGAGTAACGAGTTGGCAACCAGTCAGAAAATAACTTAAGGAGTGCCGTTGCTGTATTAGCTAACAGCAGGCAATAACAACACACTACATGGCAGCTTGCGCGCAAAAGCGACATGACTTGCACTCGGTGCGATTGATTTGATTACACACTAATAATGAACACTATAATCTACCGCTGAAGCTTTGATGTTGATGCGTGTAGCAGCCATGTTTGATTTTGAGCCTGGGATACTGAAGTTCCTCCCAAGTTTCTGGGTCAGAGTTCTGACTTCAAGGGGCCTTACTGATGACGAATCCGACGGCAACTCCGACTTCAGGGATCAAAATAGAATGTACCAAAAGCCTGATTCAAACCCTAGACCATGTGACCCTAACGGCCCTTGGATGACTGAGAATGTTAACAACCCCAGGTACAACTAAGTCATCATTGAAATGACAATGGTTTACACAGACTTATATTTTTGCTCTGTCCTGCAGCAACATGTCCGATGTGTTCTTGGGCAAGACACTTAACCCTGAATTGCTCCCGCTGATTCCTCTGTGGCGTATGAATGTGTGTGAATGGATTAGTTAATACTGATGGACACTTAACACAGAAACCTCTGCCGTCTTGATTTGTAAAAAGCAATTTGAGTAGTCAGAAGACTAGAAAAGGGCTTTACAAGCTACCATTTACCATTTTAAATATACAGTTAAAAAAAAAAGAACTTTCAATAAACAAGTTCTCTTTGCCTGGGAGATTTTCTTCCCAATTAAAATGTAACCTGAGTGCAGCATTTAGTCCGCAATCTTTGCTCCTAAATTCCTTCCTAGATAAATGGCTTGTGGTGAGGCCAAGCTTGTTAGCAGCATGCAGGGCTGAAGCTGTCAGTGCTGGTACTCCAGGAGGTGACACACACTCACACTCACACACACACACTCACACACACACACACACACACACACACAGAGAGAGTCAGAGTTATGAGGCTGAGTTATGTCTTTCACCATGCCAACCTCTGCATACCCGGCTTTCACTGTTGTCTTAATGAGAGCTGTCGTCTCTGGGCCACCGTATCCTGCTCCAGGCTTTAACTCGCAGACGTGCACGCAAATACAGTTTTCTCCTCCTCTGTCTCACAAACACATACAGACACAACCTTCCCTATAAATACACATATTGTTGACTCTTGCTCCCATGGATGCCCTTAGAACTAATCTGTAACCTAATTTTCACCTATTTAGCTCACACACACACAATGCCCTCATTTACATGCATGACCCTCATTCATCTTACTCAGTTTTTTTTTTGAAACAACACACACTCACACCTCTGGTAGAGACACAGTCATAACCACATCCAGGACCTGCCAAAAAGTATCACACATACTGTACATGTTTAAAACGCATGCACACAGATTGTCCCCAGGAGCTGTGTTGATTGAGTCATTCCTTCTCCTCTGTTATATCATCTCAGGCGTTGCCCTCGTTGGCTTTCACTGTCTCTTTAAAAAAAAATAAAAAAATAAATGCCTCTTGCTCTCTCATTGCACAGTTCTGTTCTTTGATTACTCCACTGTTGGTACGGATAAATCAGTCATGAGATTATCCTTGTCCACCTTATGACTGTTTAACATTGTTCCAATAGCAATGCAAGTATCAGAAGTGCTTGTGAAATCCCTTAAATTAGATCCCTGGTGTCGGCCATTGCGGCACAAATTACGCACCCCTCTGATATCATACTCTATTACACCACCTCTTAAAACTGGTCTGTTTCTTCTTCCCCAAACCAAAGTATTCAACAGCAATGATACAAATTATTGCTAACACTAGCAACAGCTGTTTTGAGTGATAAAAAGAAAGCGTTCACGTTTATTGCCAAGTTAGCACCACAAACAACAACAAGGTGCTGCTAATGGTAAGTTTGAGGTATCATTGCTGTTCCATCCTTCTTTTTTTTTTAAATATTTTTGTATCCATAGGAACGATTATTGAAAAAGCTGAAATAATGAAATGAAATAAATCGTTTTCATGATAAAAGTACAGGTGTTTTGTCAGACACAAGACATCAGGAAAGGGATGCAAAGAGTTCTGGTAACCTTAGCTTAGCTTTGTTTTTGAAGCTAGGATTCCTTCATTGTACTAAAGCAGGGCATAAAACAACCATAGCAATCATGTCATCCATTCAGGGTCAGCAGTTTGCAGTTGTTTTAAGAAAGAAACAGTATGCCACTTGTATTGAATCCTTTATTTGCAAATGATCAAGTGTAGATATAAGATTCTGCAATTGGGGGAAAAAAGGACTGGTATCCAAACATCTCTTGGGGGGTGTAAATACCCAATTATTTGTACACGTTGCTATTGGTGGCGACTAGAAACACAATATGTTTTCTGTTATTATTGCTGCAGAAAGAATCCCCAAAATTAACCAATGACCTCTTTTGTTTTGTTCTTTGTTCGTTCATCTTTAGGTTTCTCCCAGTCTGCTGGGATGGGGGTCAACATCGAGGTTGGGGCTGCCCCTCTGTCAGGTGAGAGGACTCCAAGTAAAGCCGAACCCCAGCACCCCACACCCACAGCGGGGTCTGAAGCCCCTAAAGAGTACAGCCCCATGCTGCCTGAACCTCAGGCTCCCCGTAGCCCTCTGGACCTGTCAGCAGGTAAGACGCATGCAGATTCACTCAGTCATGTTATCAGGAAATGATGGAAGTGTTAACCTGCCCTTTTTCAATAAGGCCGTACTTAAACAGTCAGAATGAATGTATACATCTATAAACCTGGAATATGCCTAAGGCAGGTCAGCACATTTACTTGAACAAATAAGAGCATCTGTGCTTTTCTCAGGAGCAGCTCCGGTAGGTGGAAGACAGAGACTTACTTTTTTCTGTGTAGATCTATTCCCTCGGCCCATTTGAACTCAAATATATGTATTTTAGGCGTCTTGTATACTTACATGTAAAAGCACGAGGTGAGGACTACTGACCAAAGCCAAATACTAAATCAATACAATGCATATACATTTTCTAATTGTCAGATTTTTGAAGTCTTTTTTCATCTTACCTCATAAGTGTTTTATCATGTTTTGCACAAAACCTTCTGCAATTTGGTCTCAGATGATATGACCTCCTAGGTACGACTTTGAAGTTGTCTCATGTTGCTCTTTAAACTCATATACCGAAGGTCCAGATCCTGATCCAGAGCTTACACTTACTGCTAATTGCTGTTTGAACAAGTGGGACTCACTTCAATAGCATTGTTTGCTTGTAATATTCATAAAAGTCGGCGTTCTTTAGTTAAATGGGTCTAATTTCCACAAAGTTGTTGAATTGCAGATTCTAAAAACAGTCAAAATGACCTGGGTAGTTTGGGTGTTAAAACACTAGGTGTTCATCGTTTTGCCATCCATTCATCCTCACAAGAATAGTAAATCAAACTGATGACTGTAATAATGTAATATAGTGATATATATATACATATACAGTATATCACTGTGGCCTTTGCTGCACTGCCTGAAGTTTTCCACACAGGGTGGCAGTATACAGAGCAGCTTTATGTATTTCCTTTTTATAACTTACATCACACACACACACACGCACGCACACACACACACACACACACACACCAGCTCCTATGTTATTTAGTCATCCAACTCAAGGTCAATGCACATCTCATGCTGACATGTATAGGGTTTGCCATCATGTCATGGCTTCTAGTCATATATTGCTGTGTGTGTGTGCCCCTCTCCTCCTCCCATAGGGTCTCTCTCATGTTCTATGTTCTTCAGATCATGGACAGCTTGGAGCTTTGGAGCTGAACTCGTCACCATGCTGTGACTTGTGCCAGCTAATAGGGCCATGCTAGCATTACATGTGGCCAGTGGAACGATGCACAAAGCAGCAGGGCAGCTGAGCCCCCCATGGTGCACTGCTACACAGCAGGTGGCAGAACTCCCTGTACCTCTGTGGTAGATGAGAGCAGGATGATACAGTTAAGAACAGTTTTTGCTAGATGTGTCAAATACACATCCTTTTAAGTTAAAGAGGCACAAAGTAACCATGAACCAGCACATGAATAACAGCTTGCAGTGCATTAGTACAAGGTACATTTTGATCACAAATGCCAAGTCATCAATCTCTGGGTTTATTTTTTAAACAAAAATACTATGCAGCTTTTTTGGCTGTTATTAAGAATCTGCCACTGGAAACCATGGCTTCTTCCCCATTTCAAATAAAAAGCCAACCATGCAGGAACTAGATCACCAATCAAACATTTTGTCTTAGTGAGTCTGACTCCCGGGTCAGAGTTTTATGGTCTGCCATGAACCGTCCTGAATGGAGACCTGAGCCTTTCCAGAGCTCTAGTTATGAACGGTCTTCCAGAAATGTCACTTTAAATGTCAGTATTTCTGCAAATACAGATGCTGCCAGATATCTGACTGGCACATTCCTTATTTGACGTATTTTCACATGGAACTTTGAAGTTTTTGGACAGGAATATGACAAGTGTGGCAACACTTAAAGAAAAAGATTCAGAGCAGCAAAATGGATATTTGAAAGCCTGGTTTTATCTGCGTTAAAGGCAAACAAACATCCAGGCCAAAGAAAAGACTGTGAGGCAACACAGTTACCAATCCAGTTGTAAAGAACTTAACATGTTAATGCATTCATTATTGTTCAGATGGTCTAGTATTATCTTGAACCTGTTTACCAGTCAGTCATAAATAGATACGTCTGAAGTATGTAAGCCTGTCACTGCTACTCTTAAATTGTAAGACTGTATGCCATTCTGTAGGTGCTCCAGTTTGTGTGTGTGTGTGTGTGTGTGTGTTTGTGTGTGTTCATATTGTCTCTGGTACTGTATGTGTGTTAGGTACAAAGAAACACACAATGACTCAACATTGCGGCAACCACACTCCCCCCCCCCCCCCTTTTTTCCCTGTCACAAGATGTGGAGGGCTGATTTTTGAAAACCCAAAGGGACTCTGTTTTGACCGAGGAGGAGCAGAACAATAAGAACATATTTACCTTATAAACGTCTAAAATCATAAATCCCTTGCTGACCGAAACGCGGGTTAATTTTTTCTAACCAGAAATGTTGGTTTTTTTTTTTTTTAAATCCTTGAAGAGAGGAAAAGGACAACATCTAGTGACATGTAACCAGAAGTACAGCCAACCCATCAGGCAAAAGTCTATACCAAACTTTAATACTCTTTAACTTTTCATATTGACATTTTCTGATCAGACCTTTAGATAAACTTTATATTATCTTAGCCAAAGTGTATTTAATGTGTCAAGATATTTTTTCTTTTCAGCTTAAAGTCATGTTTTTGAGTTTTTTTTGGTTAACAACAGTTATGTTTTTTTCCATTTTAAGTACATGTATTAGAGAAAATACACTATACCATTTTTTTCCAACATTAATTTATGTTCCTAGTCTGTCTAAAAACCCGCCAATTATGACAAGAGTCCATCCTCTGCTCCACTTTTCAGAAAATGTGTACTTAAACAGGTCATTCGGAAATTTTCCCTTCATGACATCACAAAGGGCAGTAACCCCTCCCCCAGGTGGGTGACACTCCCACAGACATAGCTCATTTGCATATAAAGGTACAGACACAGAAAGAGCCTGTTCTGAGCAGGGCTGAAATAGAGGGGTTCATAGGCATGATCAAATACAGGATCAGAGTGGAGTTATTAAAAGAAACTTCACAGACATGTTTTGGGGAGCTCTGAGACTTTAAACTGGTTGAAAGGGAGTATAATATGTGACTTTTAACTCTTTAAAACATTGTATTTATCTTCCCCTCTTTCTGCATTAAAACTGCACCTTGTATAGGACATGCATATTCCAAACTGAAGGTAGAGTCATTTGTTAAAAAATTGCTTAGAAGCAATAAATTATTCTCTTTTGGATTCCACAATAAAGTACCTTTAAAAGTGAAAGTAAAGATGGCTGTTTTTTAATGCGTCTTTGGACTAATGAGTTGGCAGGACACTACATTTAAGTCATCCGGATCCATTTGGTTGATTACTTTTTTTTGCCTTCCACATATAATTTACATATAGAGAGCATTGATCTGTCACAGGTTTGATAATATAAAGTACAACACACTAGAGAGTAATTGTACTGGGCCTGAAAGCTGCTCCACTTCAGCTCTCTTTCTGTGAATGTGTGTGTGAGTGTGTATAGCTTAAAACAAGAAACAAACTGGGCCAAAGTAGAACAACCTTGTCTCAGTGGACATTTCCTCTATGTTCTCATTACTTCTTATCTACCTGGGCTTTGTCATACAACATCCCAAGATACGCCGTTTTAGTTACAGCATGGTTGCCTGTAATTGACCTCCTTTCTATGGAACCATCAAGAAGTCTTTTTGTTTCTGTGTGCTCATGTGGAACACTGTAAATGCACTGCGTGACCTTATTTTTAGTCTGCAGACAAATGTAAACTCACACACTCCTTACTCTTACCCCCCCTTTTTTTTTTAAAGAGCTTTTGTGCAGTCTGATAGTTTCAGGCTAAGAATGAATCTTAGTGAGGCTGCAGTGACTCAGCAACCTCAAAAGCACCACACCTCTACATCATTTCATTCACTACCATCCTCCAGATTGTTTCTATGTGCTTTATGTGTTTGATTCACATTCCATCAAGCAATAATTACTCAGAAGCAATAATGCAACTTGGGATCAATTGTTACTGTCAGTGTTAACATTAAATTAAAAAAAAAAAAAGGATGACACATCATTGAAAGAGAAAAATAAGTCCCACTGTTCCCAAATAAGTCCCAAGGTATTGTGATTAAGGTTTCATGCATTCCAACCCACATCTTATTTAATTTCTTCAATTGCTTCTCTACTGCTTTGACTTTTCACCCTGAAACTCTATCAAACAATTTAATTGAATAGTTTGATGAATTCAGCTTTATGAACTTCCGGTTTATATATATTCTTTTGAATAATATTTGTTTATTTTCTGTTTGCACTTGACTTAAGGAACCAGTTCATATGCACATAATCATCTCCCCCAACTTAAAACTTTCCCCCTCTTCACCCATAATAAGGTGCATTAGGCGACTGCTGGCAAGACCAGGCTGACTGTCTGTCGACAGACCTCCCTTTCACTCCAAGCGTTACCACGGTGATCAGTCGCCATGCCAGCCAGCTAGCAGTCAGCCCTGATGACCCACCTGACAGTTGGCCTACGCGAGAGAGCACAGCCTATGCCGGAGGGGACGAAAAAGAGGGAGAGGGCTCCGACCGAAAGCAGAACAAGAAGAAGAAAAAAAGGCGACAGAAAGATGAGGGATCTTATGAGCACCTAGAGAGTAAAGGTCACCTTGAGGTGCAAGCAACTGGAGAAAACACAGAGGAGTTCTACAGCAGGATAGGCCCGAGGAGAGATAAAGGAGAGGCTGGATGGGAGGAGCAGCTTGGGAAGAGTGGAGGGAGGGGGAAGAAGGGTAAGAGCAGGAAGAAGATTCCAGGAGTGGGGAGTGATGGCGGAACCGTTTGTCCCTGCATCAGCAGCCTCTCAAATCACAGAAGACGATATGATGGATTTAGGAAGTTCTGTGCAGTTGGAGTCCTCATTCACAGACATGGATAACAGCTCCAGCGCCTGGAAAAAGGAGGTTTTCCCAGAAGAAGGCCTAGTCCCTTCTCCTCTGTCCCATGACCTTTTCTCTTCAACTGCTTCTACCATCAACCCATTGGTCCTGAACAGCGAGCTGAAAGCCACAGCGCCTCCGTTCGCGATGCCGTCTACCACAACTGACAGTGTAACACTTGGCTCCCTCCCCATGGCTCCCCACCCAGATGATCCATTCAACCTCCTAATGGATACTGAAAATGCCAGCTTGGGTAACAGCAGCCAGGCCATTTTGCCAACTTTCTCTCAAGAGATTGACACAATGGCCGGTGACGTTGTTGACAGTGGGATATTTGACACTACCAGTTTCCTCCAAGAGTCTTGTGTGCAAGGGCTACCAGAGGGAGACACCTCAGCTTTCAGCCCGGCATCCCAACCAAGCCCAGGTTTTTCCCCAAAAGGTGAGGTGTTAGCCTCGGCCCCTCCTCTCTCACCATCAGATTCTTCTTGGGTCCTGAACAACTCCTCCATGAGCAGGGACAGCGAGCTATTTGACTTCAGTGAGGTCAACACTTCAAGTGATCCTGTTACCTTGGGGCTTTCCTTTGACACCCCAAGCCCAGCGCCTCTCCGCTCTCCTAAGACCACAGCGCAAGAGTCCAAAGCCAAAGAGCAGAAGGATGGGAAATCTTGCCAGAAACAATCCAAGAAGTCTCGTTCCTCATCCTCCTCCTCCTCTTTGAAGAGTCCCACCTCCCCAGGAGCTAAGAAGTTCCCTTCACCAGCATCCCCACTCATCAGTCCCTCTTCCCCTCCAGCTGCAAACGCCCTGGGAGTCCTACCCTCTGGCCTCAACCCTGCAGCTAAACCCTTCTTTCCAAGTTTTGCTGATTCCATGGACGAACCAGCCGTGGTCCCTCCAGTTGACCCTTTCATGGAAGGTTGGTTGTAGTAACTGCTGGACAAAGTAGAAGTAGAGTAGACAAATACATAGATGACAGATAGATAGACCCGTTTGTATTGTCCCTGCATGGAAACATTTGTCAAAAGACCTGTTTTCTGGCTGATCCAATCCGGACTACTTGTGAGTGACTAACGCATGGACTCAAGTGTTGATCAGCTGAGGCTGTGGATTGGCTTGACTTTAAT